GTTTGAATTAATTCTGGCCTTAAAATTTGATGAACTATGAATTAATACAGAAAAATTATGTGTAAAGGTTTGATTTTGAGGTAGTTTGGCAGTTGAGCATTTGCTATTTAAATTTATTCTTGCCAGTAACATTTGATGAATTTTATTGAATTAATATAGAAAGAAGTCAAGTTTATGTGTGAAGATTTGATTTTGAAGTGTTTGGAAGTTGACCATTTGCAGTTTGAATTAATCCTCGCAATAAATTTGATAAACAAGTATGATTCAAATAAAAAGAAATCATTTTTATGTATAAAGATTTGATTTTGAGGTGTTTGGCAGCTGACCCATTTTGCAGTTTGAATTGATTCTGGCAATATATTTGATGAACAAGTAAGAATTGATAGATAAAGAGATCATCTTTTTTAGAAGAATAGATAAAGAAATCATTTTAATATGTAAAGATTTGAATTTGAGGTGTTTAGGAGTTACTCTTTTGCAGTTGGAATTGATTATGATTTCTAACATTAAATTTGATGAAGAAGTATGCATTAGCATATAAAGAAATCATTTTAATGTGTAAAGATTTGATTTTGAAGTGTTTGGTTGCTGCCCATTTGCAGTTTGAATTGATTCTTGGGTCTGAAAATGGAGGAGAGTGGTCCGAGTCGGAGTGGCGAAGAACCAACATCATGGGATGAGCTTTACAATGTCAATCTGATGCCTTCAGAGATTTTTCTCAAGTTCCGAAAAGAAATTGAGGGCTATCGAGTTGGTGTTAACTTGGAGGTACTAAATTCTCACTGACCATCTACGTTTCTTGATGTTTAATCAATGAACTATCTCTCAATCTCAAACTAGTTGGGGTCGATTATATGGATATAGTGTTCCCTTGATGCTTTCGTTCATGTTAGTTTAATGGGACTATCGTATTACAATGCATCAAGACGTTTTAGATTACTTTCAATTAAATTCGGCAAATTGTACTCGTTAGTATGAGTTATTACAAGTTGGAAATCCTCTTTTTCTTGGATGGAGATGGAGAAACTTACTATAGCAAACAGAGGTAGCAGAAAGCTAGTTATTGGTTAGATTTGTATATACCTTCTGGAGATTTAGTTGTGGATATACTGATGGCAGCAAGAGCACGACCGCTTATAACCGACTTACATGATAATGCCTCAACCCTTTCTGACCTCTACCAACGATTTTCAACCAGTGAAAGCTGGATCTTGTCCTACAAAGCCCCGTTTTCGTGTTTTTTTTTAATCTTCATGTTCTTGATACTATCTCAACGATGGACTTGGAGCTTTAAAATATCTTGTCCATCATCCTCTATGTAAACGTTCCCAGTTTGCTAATGTTAATGATCGAACGGATAATTTTCTTATAATCTGTTGTACAGTGGGTGCTGAGTGATACACGGTCTGCTTTATGCCAATAATTCCCTCAAGATAAAAGTTAATACACAATACTGAAGTCTAAACTGTAGAAGCAATATAAGATTTTACTGCATTAACGTTCTAGTTGTTGCTGAAATCACCTGGAAGGATATTGAGTAGAGCATTATAACGCCGTGTCGTCTATTTGGGTATTTGTTGTTTTAACTAGTTTTTTTAATGCTACCTCTTGACCAGTTTTACAATGCCCCATACAATGAGTATCTGGCGAAGCTGGTTTTAAAGCCTTTAGCCCCTGATCGGAGATGGAAGTTCATATACGAGCCTTTACATCATGAAGTGCGCCTTCTTTCCAAGAAAATCCCAGTGACAAAATTTCTGAATCTTCAGGTTTGAACTTTTTTCGTTCCTTCCTCTACACTGTACTGCTTCCTACTATAGCCCTTATCAGCATAAAAAAATTATAGGGTAACCATTTGAATTACACAGGTTGGAGTAGGCCACAGCTTTCAGTTGCATGCAACTGGTTGGAAATGGAAGCTTACTACTTGTTTCGGCGGAGATGGTGTCTCCAGCATCCGGAATAAAACATCACTCGGATTATGTCCTGGTGTGGATTTCCGTTTTGGATGGAAAGCAGATTATGTTCTTCCAGAAGTTACTGGGCAAGTTTTCTCATCCTAATTTGCCATTCACTTCGTAGGAAATCACTTGAAGGGGAGCCTTGGCATAACTGGTAAAGTTGTTGTCATGCGACTAGGAGGTCACAGATTCGAGCCGTGGAAACATCCTCTTGCAGAAATGCAGGGTAAGACTGTGTACAATAGACCCTTGTGGTCCGGTCCTTCCTCGGACCCCGCACATAGCGGGGGCTTAGTCCACCGGGCTGCCCTTTGTAGGAAATCACTAGGCTTCTTACCCCGTGACGATATAGTGCTTTAACAATTAAAAACTGACTGAAATTTGGTAGCGCTTTTACCTAATATGAATTCTGGACTCCGTTTGCAGCGCTTTAGGTACTGGTGAACCATTGTTCAATATGAATTCCGGACGACTACAAGCGTCACTGGATAGAGTAGAGGCCATCTTTTCCCAATAAACACAATTACTACTTCGTATAATTCCTACCTATGCCTTCTAATCCTGTTGAATTTGGTGTCGCTCAATCTTCCTTCTGTACCTTTTCAAATCATTCTTCTCCGATCGTTGATTTATCTGCACCATGATATAGGGATTGGATTGTAGAGCTGACTCATCTTACTTTGCGCGTAAGCTCTCCATTTGCCGAGGAAATCTTGAATCACCTTGAGATCTCATTTATGGACATATAGAGACCTCAAGGGACTTCATCATTCATCAACTAAGTGGAAGTTATTTTCTTTTTGGTTAACCTCTCATGTTAAGTCATCAAAATTTTCCTTCTTAATTTTATTTTTCTAACTATTATGCTACAGTTATGTTCTTTGTAAGAAACACATTTCTGATATCATTTCTTGCTTTGTATTTTTTGGGGAGATGGGGGCTGGAAAACTGAAGGGAGGAGAGCTAAACACAAATGTGTTCTGGATTTTGACATACTGTTGAATTTCTTGTTAAGAGTTGGCAAGGGGAAGAGTCTCCTTTTTACACTGAGAACCCTTTAATTGTTTGTTTCAACTTGTTTGATTATCTCATCATTTTTGTCATAAATCACATCATTATTACTGACCCTCTTTGTATGCTTATAGTTTGGTCAAAAGTGCTTTCTCCCCTCAAAGTTAAAGGTGTTTTGACCAAGCTTTTAGTAGGCGTTTGGACATAAAAGTTTTGATTTTTTAAAAAAAATAGCATTTGGAGTTAAGTTGAAAAAATGACATTTGAATATTGAAATTATAAATTATGTCGACATTTTACTTGAAAAAATATTGCAGTTTTGTGAGTTAGGAAAAAGGTTTTTCAGAAAAGCTTGAAAAAGTGGTTTGAAAAATTCATTTTCAAAAAATTTCCAAAACTTACGAATTTTCATGGGAAAAAAATCTACAGACAAATGGGTCTTTAGAAGGAAAAAAATATTTTTGAGTAGAAGTAGAAACTGTTTTCTTCTCCCAAAAAGTAATATTTTGAAAAATACTTTTAAAAAAATACACTTAGAAACACTTTTAAAAGATTGCTGCTCAAAGTGTTATTCAAAATGATTAATCAAACACAAAATTACTTTATTTTTTGGAAAGTACTTTTAAAAATAAGTTATTTTAAAAGCTATGCTATTTATCTTAAATTAGTTGGTTGAGTGTTCAAGATTATCCACATAATACCATATATCACTCAAAGCTCCGAACGAGTGTGCGTTTTGCATATTTTTTGGTATTCTCACAAAAATTACATATTCCTGAAATTTTGCAGCCAACAAACGCACCCTTTGGGAAAATCCATGGAATGCGCTTCAAACATTTATTATTATAACTATAATTTTTCATACTTTTGCACATTTAACATTAATATTAACGGAAAATATATTTGGCCACACTAACAATGGCCCAAATGTCCAGAATGGAGGTATTATGGTAACTTCACACGACTTTTGAGGACATAATGGATAATTGTGTATTTTCGTTTTCCATCTCTACCCTTTAGCAGATTTTTATTTTAATTCAATTTTTTCAAACAACTCTCTCTCATTATTTTAATTGTATTACCTTCCCAAGACTTCTTTCACATATACACATGCATGACTACATCATTTTCCATAAAGCATTCAATGCACATATACATATACTNGACTACATCATTTTTCATAAAGCATTCAATGCACATATACATATACTATACCAAACGAAATACATTAAAATATACACATAGTATACTAGAGGAAACACGTGTACATTTAAACTACCACTACAACAAATTTGATTATCAATGATAAATTATTGTCACTTAAAAAAAAAAATTGTCAATGGTTCGTCTTTAAAACTGGGCCACTAAAAGTATACAAAGACAAAATAGTGTTTCGTCGCTAGAAAAAGTTATATTAACAACGAAATTTGTTTTTGTCCTCAAATACATAGTATTTGCGACAAACTCATTTGTCGGAAAAACTATTTAAAAATTGGAGCTGATTGTTTGTTTTTGTCACTGAAAAACTTATTAATGTTGACGAAACGATTGCCATTAATCGTTTAGTTTAATTAGTGACAATACCAATTGTCTCCAAAGTTATACATATATTTTGTCCCTAAATATATGAATTTGTGACAACTTTTCTTTTCTAAAAATGATTATAATTTAGTAGTTAAAAATTATTATGTCGTCACTAAAAATATTGCTTATTACTGAGAAAATAAAATTATTACTATGATTAATGACAATTTCAATTGTCATAAAATAAAACGTTAATCCGTGACCAATATAGGTGATTCTCATACAAGTTTTATTTTTGTCACTAAATGCAGTCAATTTGTGACAAACTAATGTAAAATATGTTTTCACTAATTACAAATATTTGATGTCATTTAAATTCATAGTGGTACTATTGATAATTAGTATTTACCTAGTTTTTCACTAATTTGTGAATTTATTAGTAGGCGAATTGAAAGTAACATAACAAAACGTGCAAGGTAACAAAAATTTCTATCCATGATCGTATAATTAAAAACAATTAATACTATATTGAGATAATATCTCATTACAAACTTCATAAATTAAAACACATAAATTAAGTAAAATCTATCCAACATGAAAGTCTAATAGAGATGGAAGAATATTGATAAATTAAAAAGAGATGGACGTATGTTGCTTCCTCAATTTGCTAATGTAATCAGCCGTCTAATAAATATACTCTTGAATAAATTTCCACGTTCTTGTACCCGTGAAAAACAAAAGTTATAATTAAGTACATACTTTTTTATGTCATGATAAAAATATATATTAAAACTTTAACTATAAATTATGTATTAATTAGTGAAGGAAATAATAGAATGAGAGATGAATACATGTAAAAGAAAAAAAATACTTACTTGAAGTTGCACAATAAAATTTTTTATTCATCTTTGGCTGCAAATAACCATAAAAATTCAGAGTAAGCGATGTGAAATTTTGAGTACTTGAACTCTCAAAAAAAAAAAAAAATCTTCAAATCTTTTTCATATTATTTAAATTAAATAATATGAAATTGGGGGAAATGCCGAGTGCAATTACAACTGAGTGCAAATCCTAAAGGAAATATGCATGACTTGGAGATAGGAAAAAAGGGATGCAAAGGAACTGATGACACTGGGTGTGAAGAAGCTAAAGCAGTTGGAACAAAGCCTACTACTGGATCCAATTTCTGGGCAAATCTAGTGGCGAGGAATACCTATGCGGCTAGAGGAATGGGGCTCACCTATGTACCTCCAATGATACACAATGGGGAAAAAATAATTAAATTACAGCAAGCTGAAGTTGAGAAGGAAACAGAGAAATGGAGGAAGGCAGTAATCATGTACGTAGTTGGAGATACACCTAGTATTGGAGCTGTTGAAAGATTTATCGTGTTCCAGTAGAATTTTGTAACAAAGCCAAAGGTATACTATCACAATGAAGGTTTTTTTGTTGTTAAGTTCAGTAGTATAGAAGAAAGGATAGTATAGAAGAAAGGAATGAAGTGTTATATTCAGGGCCAAGTACAATCAATAGCAAGTCAGTGATCACTAAGGCATGGGCTCCTGACTTTGATTTCAAGGAGGAAGTATTGAAGACTCTTCCCTTGTGGGTTAAGCTTCCAAACTTACCATTGAACTATTGGGGAGTTGATTCTTTGAGTCGAATTGGAAGTGGGCTAGGGACACCAATTTATGCTAATGGATGTACCACTAAAGTGGAGAAGATCTCATATATGCCATAATTCTTGTGGAAATGGATATTACCAGGCCATTGCCTACAAAGATAACAGTGCGAGATCTAAATGGAAGACAATTTGAGCAAATAATTAGCTACGATTGGAAACCTGTGTATTGTAGCACATGTTTGCAGCTGGGACATAATTGCCTAAACAAGATAGCAATGCAGCAACAACATGCCAAACAACCAAAGCAAAGGCAGGAATGGAAACCTAAGGAGCAGAACAACTCAGTGACTGGAAATGAAGGACCATAAATAATTGTGGACAGTAAAAAATCAGAAATTAGCCAAGACATAAAAGAAAGCATCCAAGCTCAGAAGCAAGCAAATCGTAAAGATGAGGGGTGGCAGGAAGTAAGGGGAAAATCTGCTGCTAAAAATAATCATACTGCTGCTGAAGAGAGATTGGTTATAGGAAATGGCTTTTCTTCCCTTACTAGAACAAATGCTCATCAGACAAGTATTGGCACTAGCAGAATGGAAGGAGGGCAGAGTAGTCGTGGGGTTCTGGAGGAGGTTGTACTACCAGACCAAATAGTTTATGAAGCTGGTCATCTGGAATGTTAGAGGCTTGAATAAAGCTTATAAGCAAAAGGAGATGTAGAGGTTTATCAGGGAAAATAATATTAGTATTATTGCTATAGTAGAACATAGAGTGCAAGAGAAGTATTCAAGTACGATTCTAAATAAGATAGCCCCTAAGTGGAAATGGTGTACAAACTATGAAGTTGGAGGCAGAGGAAGGATATGGATAGTGTGGGATCCTAATGAAATAAAATTTACTATGATAGGGTGCAAACCTCAGTATATTCATGGGGAGGTAAAATTATTTGCTAGCAGACAGGAATTCACTTTTACAGCTATATATGGACTCCACACAGTAGATACAAGGAAAAGCTTATGGGTGAATTTGCTAAGCTGGAGCCACTCTCAACAATGATCTTGGCTATGTATGGGTGATTTTAACACAATCTTATCAGTAGATGACAGAAGTAATGGGAATCCAGTACAAGATGGGAAATTAGAGATTTTAAAGAGTTCCTGACAAATTCAGGGATGTTTGAAATGAGAACAATAGGGAGAAGCTTCGCATGGATAAATTCTCATGTCTTTAACAGAATAGATAGGGCAATAGTTAACTCTGAATGGGTAACCAATATGCCACAATTGGATGCTATGATTATGGATCTTTATTTCTCATATCACTCTCCCCTATGTGTCAAATTTGGAGATGAACCACATAACTCTAGGCCTTTCAGGTTCTTCAACCATCTGGCAGAACATAAAGAATTCCTAACAATAGTTGCAAGGCTATGGGAAAGACAAAAAATAACTCAAATGCCTGGAGTATGGAGAAAACTGAAAGAAGTAAGAAGAGAATTAAAGAAGCTAAACATTACTGAGTTTGCAACAATTGATGCAAAAGTGAAGCAGGCCAGACACCAACTAAAGGAGATACAAGAGAAAATGAGATCTAACTACTTACAATCAAACTTGTTTGAAGAGGAGAAGTAACTGAAGAAGCAACTGGAGAAATGGGTCAATATTGAAGAAAGTATTTTCAAACAAAAATCCAGAAATCAGCGGTTAAAATTGGGACACTCAAACTCTGCTTTCTTCTTTGCCAATATGAAGAATAGAGTTAGTCAAAATAAGATTAGGAGTCTGATGACTCTTGCGGGAGAAATAGTTCAAACAATGGGTGCAATTGAAAGTGAAGCGGTGGTATTTTACAAAGAATTGCTTGGCTCATCTGCAGCAGCCATGATAGCCATTCAACCGAGTACTATGAAAGAAGGGAGGGTGCTTAATAGATGCCAACAGATGAAACTCATAGAGCCTGTAAGTGTAGAGGAGGTATACAATGCACATAGATGATTTAAAAGCTCCAGGGTGTGATGGATTCAATTCATTATTTTTTAAGAAAACATGGGCTATCACAGGACGGGAGATCACAGAGGCAGTCCTGCGGTTCTTTAACACAGGAAAAATGTATTGACCCATCAATGTGACTACAGTCACTTTTATACCTAAGGTACACCACCCCTCAACCATTAGAGAGTTCAGGCCTATATCCTGTTGTACAGTTCTGTAAAAATTATCTCTAAGATACTGACTACTAGACTGCAAGAGGTAATGGACCAGTTAGTTGATAATAGCCAGCCAGGATTCGTGCCAGGAAGAGTTATTGCTGACAATATAATTCTAAGTCATGAATTAGTACAGGGGTATGGAAGAAAAATGATCTTACCCAGATGCATGATGAAGTTAGACCTGCAGAAAGCTTATGATTCCATTGAATGGGTATTTCTTGAACAAGTCTTAACTAGCCTGAATATGACTGAGAAGTTTGTTAAATGGATAATGATGTGTGTGAGCACTGTGTCATATTCAATTCTTATAAATGGGAAACCTGCTGAGCCATTCCAAATTAGGAAAGGATTGAGACAAGGTGATCCATTGTCTCCTTATTTGTTTGTGCTTGGTATGGAATACCTTACTAGAAGATTGAAAACATTGAGGAATGATCCTAACTTTAATTTTCATCCAAGATGTGACAAATTGAACATTATACAGCTAGAATTTGCGGATGACTTGTTATTATTATATAGGGGAGACACTGTATCTGTGCAAATGGTGTATAAATGCTTCACAGAATTCTCCAAAGCATCTGGACTTAAAGCAAATGTTGCTAAGAGTTCCATCTACTTTGGAGGTGTGCCACATGAAGTACAACAGGAGATGATGCATGTTGTGGGATTTTCCAAAGGTGAATTACCTTTCAAATACTTGTGTTGTATACAATTTATGGAGAGAAAGTAATATGAGAGTCTTTCAAGGGCAACAACAACAGACTGAAGTGCTAATTAGACACAATATCAAGAGGTGATAAGTAGAGGATTAATGCAGACTAGATTAGCAAAAGAAGATTGAAGAACTGAACTTTTATCCTTAGAATTGTGAGGATGTTAAGTAGATAGAGTTGTCTGAGCCTAGGGACTGTCTAGGCTCAAGTTGCATTGTTGTTTGTGCATATTGATACTGGTAAATAAAATCATTTAATTACCAAAAAAAATATTAAATAAGATACCACTACTACATAAACACAATATATCGTGAGGAGAAACCCAAATTTACAATGCCTAATAAATGGAAGGAAAGGAGATTTCTAGAAACGCACCAGAAAAATTGCACTAGAGATAACGTTACATACCACAAATTTGTACCAAAGTAGAAGTGGTGTTGAATCTTAAAACGCACAGCATTACAAATTTAATCTCTTTATGTTGTTAAATAGAAAAGATTTTGAAAAAAATTAAACATTTTGGATTATGTGTATGTGTGTGATAGAGAAATGATCTATCATGGGTGCAAATTTTGGATTATGGAGGATGATTGGATGAAGATCACAATGAGGAGAAATGGGGAAGAAGAAGGGGGTGGGACTACAGTGGCGGCAGTAGGGAAATTAAAAAGAGGTATTTGGGAAAACAAAAAACAAACACAAAAATAGAGAGGCACACTTGCCGCTTTATTTTTCGTTCAACTTTGAAAAGGAATAAAAAAAACAAAGTTGAATTTTTTTGATAATTAAGTATCTTATCAATGATAAAAAATATTTAACAACCATGAAAATATATTATTTGAAATTTATTTACACTTTATTTTTTTTTTATTACATTACTAGGAGTACAAAATACCACAAGATTAAATTGTTTGCTAACAAGCAAAATCCCATGATTAAAAGTTTTATTATATATCAATAATTAAATAAACTTTTTGCTATTTATTAAAACTAACAAACAATACTATAGTTGTTAGTTAAAAAAAACTATCTTCAACTCTATACTTTTTTGTAGTGGAAAATATGAAATTTTTTAAACTGATTTAATTTAGCGATGTTTAAACCATTTTAATAAAAAATATATTTATCAACACTTTTGACGAAATACACAATTATTTATATCATGTACGTCATTATATCCAAACAAGTAATTTCTTATTTATGATATCATATTTAGCGCCTTAAAAGTATTTTGAAACACTTGACTTTTATAGGTTAATTACAAGCAATGACATAGCTAAGTGTGTTAAAAGGGATTCAATTGAATCTCTTTTGCCGGACAATTATACTGCAAAAGTATGGTAATTATAATTTTTTTTTTTTGTATATGTAAATTTTGAATCCCGGAGAAACTGCAAAAATATAATGTAAAGATAGGGTTCATGGTTCATTGCTAGTTGGGATAATCAATAGAAATCATATCATGAAAATAAAAAAAAATAAAAAAATTACCACATCATCATGCTTAATGTACGATTTGGGCACGTTCTTCCTAAACCATGGATAGAAATCATCTTAAATCCATCTTCTAGCATTCATATTTAGAGTATCTATTTTGTTTGGAGAGTTGAAAATATTGTTTAACACTCTAACTTGTGTTTAAGAGATATATAAAGAGTCAAGACTTTTAATTTCCCTCCAATCGTATTTTTACTTTTCCCTTTGTTTCTCTCTGAAAAATTTATTTGAGTTTTAGTCCAAAAATGTCATCTTGTTTTCCTTCCTAATAAATAAGCTAGAATATATTTTATTCCTAAAATTTAATCATATTTTCCCTTTTATTATAATTTAAGATTAACCAATAAAAATATATAGAATTATATATTGACTACTATATAAACGGTCAATATGGCTTTAATGAATGAAATTATTTATTGAATATGTATAACATAGGCCATATGACTATAACCTTAGTCAATGGACTTATGAATAACTATAGGCCGATACGTATGACCTTAATGAATAAAATTATATATTGGCTATTATATAAACTGTCAATATAACTAGGAATCACAACAATATAATTAGCATAGGCCATATGAATAAAACCTTAGTCAATGGACTTATATGGTTGCTATGAATAACTAATGACCGATACGTATGACCTTAATGAATGTAATTATAAATTGACTATTATATAAACGATCAATATAACTATGAATCAAACGATGTAATTGGCATAGGCCATATGACTATAACCTTAGTCAATGAACTTATATGGTTGCTATGAATAACTAGTGGCCGATATTGTTTCGACCCGAAATGTTTCACCGACGGGACCGTGATGGCGCCTAACATTTCACTTGTTAGGCAAGCCAACGTTAGAGAATCATTAAACCAATTCCTTATTTCCATTCAGTAATTAACAATAATTAACTAAGATAAAATATAATAAGTGCGGAATATCATAAAACTGTATTCATTACTACCACCCGGATCTGGAGTCACAATCCACGAGCATTCTAGAATTTACTACAAGTAATAGTCTGAAATAAATACAACTGTTTGAATGAGAGAAACAGTAGAACAGAAAAGATAGACGGGGACTTCAAGGTCTGTGAACGCCGACAGATCTACCTTGAGTCTCCGGACAGTGAGCCAATAGCAAAAATCCCGATCAACCCGAGCCGGTAGCAAAATCTACACAGAAAGTGCAGAGTGCATTATCAGTACAACCGACCCCACGTACTGGTAAGTGTCGAGCCTAACTTCGACGAAGTAGTGACGAGGCTAAGGCAAAACACCTACAAACCAACCTCTACAATTTAACAGTGTATATGCAAATAACAGAAATAAAGCACTAAACAGAAAATGTCGGGAGGGAAACACAAGATAAAGAACTACAACAGAATGATCACCGGAGCAGTCAATATACCATGAATCAACAGGAATAGTGAATACAATAAGAAAAAATTGTACGGCATCACCCTTCGTGCTTTTACTCTCAATCTCACCATAAAATAAATAGAAATGGCACGACATCACCCTTCGTGCATTAACTCTCATATCATGGCACGACATCACCCTTCGTGCATTAACACTCACAATATGGCACGGCATCACTCTTCATGCATTAACACTCACAATATGGCACGGCATCACCCTTCGTGCATTAACACTCTCCCTTATCATAATGCAATGCATAAATAACAATAGGGAGATAGAATAACAAGTACAAACCTTACTTCAACATTTGGTTCCATAACATCAATTTCAACTTTGAAATAAACACTCAATTATCACAAGAAATTCCGTAAACATGATAAGAACGATAAATTGAACAACACTAGAATAACACATAATAATTTGGCATGAGAATGAGACAATATAAGAAAAATTGAGAAACATGGAAAACAGGTAAATTAACGGTGCATAAGTACTCGTAACCTCACATATACGCCGCTCACATGATTTTCACTTAGCAAGTAACCTAAGGTTCCTAATTCCCTCAAGTCAGGGTTAGACACAACACTTACCTTGCTCGAAGGCCACTTAATTCTCAATCACAGCTTTTCCTTTGGAATTAACCTCTAAACCACTCTTATCTATTCAAAAATGACTCAATAATATCAAATATTTCTAAAGGAATCAATTATATTTCATAAATTTAATTTTCCCAAATTTTTCTCCAAAAGGTTAAAAAATCGACCCCGAACCCGCTTGGTCAAAACCCGAGGTTTGAACCAAAATTCTTTTACCCATTCACCCCCGAGCCCGAATATATAATTAGTTTTGGGATCCGACCTCAAATTGAGGTCTAAATCCTCAAATTTTGAAATTCCTAAGTTCTACCCAAAAATTCTAATTTCACCATAAAAATTCTAGATTCTAGGTTGAAATCTTGTTATAAGATGTAAAAGATTGAAAGAAAAGAGTTAGGAATTACTTGCCTGTGATTTGGGGAAGATTTGGTGTTTGGAAAATCGCCTCTTAAGGTTTAGGATTTTGAAAATATGAAAAATGGATGGAAAATCCCGTCTAAGTCCCTTTTACTCAGTTGCAAGTGTCGCAATTGCGACCTGAGCTTCGCAAATGCGAAGGAACACTCGCAATTGCGATGCCCTTCACAGTCCCGCTGCCTTCACAAATGCGACTAAACGATCGCATTTGCGATCACTGCCCTTCCCCGACTCCCTTCGCAAATGCGAAAGAAAACTCGCAAATGCGAAAACTATTGGCCTAGCTTCTCTTCGTAAATGCGATGAGAAGCTCGCAAATGCGAACCTCTCAGAGGTCGCAATTGCAAGATCAGAGGCCTGCAATAATATCAGATGCCCAGCAGTGTTTTCCAAGCCAAATCTCACTCTGTAGCCTATCCGAAACTCACCCGAGCTTTGGGGCTCCAAACCAAACATGCACACAAGTCTAAAAACATCATACGAACTTGCTCGCGCGATCAAATTGCCAAAATAACACCTAGAACTACGAATTTAGTACCAAATCAAATGAAATTCTCAAGAATACTTTAAAAATTCTATTTTCTCAACTGGACATCCAAATCACGTCAAATCAACTTCGTTTCTCACTAAATTTCACAGACATGTCTTAAATATCATAATGAACCTGTACCGGGCTCCGAAACTAAAACACGGATCCGATACTAACAATGGCAAATACCAATCAATTCTTAAAAATAAATAATTTTCAAACTTTTATTTTTCATCAAAAATTCATAACTCAAGCTAGGGACCTCCGAATTCGATTCCGGGCATACGCCAGGTCCCATAATTTGATACGGACCTACCGGGACCGTCAAAGCATGGATCCGGGCCGTTTACCAAAAATATTGACCGAAGTCAAATAAAATTAACTTTTAAGGCAAAAAATTTTATTTTCATTAGTTTTTAACATAAAAGCTTTCTGGAAACCTACCCGGACTACGCACACAAATCGAGAAGGGTAAAAATAAGATTTTTAAGGCTTAAGAGCACAGATTTGAGTTCTAAAATATAAGATGACTTTTTGGGTCATCACATTCTCCACCTCTAAAATAATCGTTCGTCCTCGAACGAACATAGAAAAGTACTTGTGCTCGTGAAAAGGTGGGGGATATCTACTCCGCATATCGGACTCAGACTATCAAGTAGCCGCCTCAATAGGCTGACCTCTCCACTGCACTCGAACTGAAAGGTAACTCTTTGATCTCAACTGGCAAACTTGCCGGGCTAGAATTGCCACCGGCTCCTCCTCGTAAGTCAAATCCTTGTCTAACTGGACAGAGCTGAAATATAACACATGGGACGGATCGCCGTGATACTTTCGAAGCATGGACACATGGAATACCGGATGAATAACTGCTAAACTAGGTGGCAACGCAAGCCTGTAAGCCACATCTCCCACTCTCTCCAGAATCTCAAAAGGTCTGATATACCTAGGGCTCAACTTGACCTTCTTTCCAAACCTCATTACACCCTTCATGGGTGATACCCGTAGTAACTCTCTCTCTCTCTCTCCGACCATGAATGCAACATCACGAACTCTACGGTCGGCATAACTCTTTTGCCTGGACTGAGCTGTGCGAAGTTGATCCTGTATAATCTTGACCTTGTCCAAGGCCTCCTGAACTAAATCTGTACCCAATAACGAAGCCTCTCCCGGCTCAAACCACCTAACTGGCGACCTACACTGTCTACC